TCACAATCTTTTCGACACTCTCCTGCCCAATTGGAAAGTCCGCCAATATCAATTTGAACTTGAAATAAGTGTCATTGATCTCTTTAAGCGATTTGTGCAATTTGTCAAGACTCTCTTCTTTCACAACAACAAACGCTTCTCTCTCACTCTCAATCATCAACTTGCCCAATGCTGTTTTAACGGTATCCAAAAAGTCGTTTAATTGGTAGATAATACACGTTCGAAGCACTTCCGCCTTCTCCTCGTTTTTAACTCGTTTTGCAATTTCAGTCTGAATTAAATTAATCTTCCTGTCAACATCCGGAGTATGATCAAACGACCAATGTTCATCCAAATACACAACAACTCTCCACATCGCCCTCCAAATACCTTCATTTGCACTTTTATAGTTTTCAATCGTGTTTAATAACTCAATTCGTCTATCAATGATCTTTTTTCTGTATACAGTGTACTTGTCTTCTGAAATGTTTGTAGTTGGCTTCTCCACCTTTTGTTGCACTTCATCCGCAAAGTCCAGTTCAATCCACCTTTTCAGAGTTCTCAGAGAAGATAATACATATGAAGCTTCAGAGTCGATCATCCCATAATTTGCAAGAGAACTTGTGATGTGTATTCTCACCATGTTCACATTCTCGTTTCTCTCAAAATTGGATTTGACAAACAAGTACAACACACTCGTAGCGTTCTTTCTCACAACAAGAGATGGGCTTCGACAATATCCAATAATTCCATTGATCAAATCAAAGCAAAACGTCGGATTTGTTACAAAGAGATACTCCGCATTCTCAGTCACAATTTTCCTGATCAGCGCCATAAAGTGTTTGAAGAACAACTCTGTCGGTGTGACTTTAAACAGTGACACAATCAATTCGGTGAGTTCATTCATCACCTCATTGTTCCCTCCAAAGAATCTTTTATTAAAACAATTCATAATCAAGTCGAGAATGACTAGAAGTCCCGTATCAACAATAGATGTGTTGGTTTGTACAGAGTGTTCTTCCGATGAAGAGACATCAGGGGAGATTCTGTCATTCATACCGTCCTTTAAAGTACTCAAAAGGGGTTGATTATCCATTTGGTTGAACACCTCTTGTCTTGCTGAATTGAGTTTGGACGCAATACCCTTGAACAATGCGTCCTTTTCATTCAAAAGTCCTCTCAAGAGTCCAACTGCCTCTTTAAGTATTCTGAGTAAATTCCCAATTCGATCTGGAGAGTCTTTGTTGAGTAAATTAGTCAACGTTTTGACTTCGATGTTCTTCAGTACCCACAAAATGTAGAAGTAGAAATGGCGAGCTTCTTCTTCACTAAAAATGCCTGAAGTTTTCTTCTTCCCATTTTCAACAACAACTTGTCCCGTCGAACTCGACAAGTTTTGAACAACAGAAAGTCGTGATGTTTGTGGTGTGATGGTGGGTGTAATTATCCTTTCAAGCTCTTCACTCAAATCGTCTGTTGTTGATTCGTCGTCACTTTCTTGTTCATCAGTGAAATGCCAGAATTTTATCAAATCGTCTGCGTTCACAATGACATAATCAATGACACTCACAAAGAACTCCGCGATGTTTGCCTTCTCGTATGGTTGTTGGTGTCTGACATCATTGTCTGTTCTCTGTGCCAATTCCACAAGTGTGTATAACGCATTTCTCGCAACACAGTCGTTCTTTTTCATTTGAAGCAAAAGCATTCTCTGCACATATGCAGCCAAGAAGTGTCTTGAAAACACTGTTGTGTAATAGTCAGACACATTCTGGACTTGTGTGATTCGTGGTGCGTTGCATTCATAGAAGTACACAAACGACCCAACACACTTCAAAAAGTCTGTTTTGAGGAGTTGGATCAAGGTCGCGTATTTGTCCACTGTCAAAGCTTCTTCCATTTTAGAGTACTTTCCCCTCTCTTTGTCGTTATTCATTGCCTTCTTCCTTGTGTCGTCCGATGTCGACAATGTGAACAAATAAATGTCCATGCATTCCATCGCTATTTTTCTCGAATAAACACGAAGTAACACAACAATGAAATTTCCAAGGGCTTCATTACATGTGAATATCCCAGTAATGTTTTTACCTTTTGCTCTCAATTTAACATACTGAGCAAACACAGTACAAAATGTTTTCAGTTGCACATTAAATTTGTCAATATAATTTGTGTCGCTCTGTATTTTGTCATATTGATAAATAAGCCTTGAACCTTCTAAGTACAACACCAGACTCTTTTCTATCATTTTTAAGAACACGGGTATCATGTTCATCGTCGTTTGAACGTATTTCAGTTCAAAGCTCTCGTCCAAAGTCGATCCATTTTGCTTCTCCATGTAGTTCTGGAAAAACTCTCTTAATGACGTTAAAAATGGGAGGAAAATGGGAATTTTGTTTGTTTTATTTTCCAAGTAGAATTTCATATACAATTCAAATGGCAAATTTTTCTTGAAGGGTTTATAAAAGAACTTATCAGAGAAGAAGCTCGACAGTTGTATCAAATACTTGAATGGCTCCAACTCTGTAGTCTTCGTCTCTGTTTTCAATTTGTCGGTTGCTGAAAATTTGACGTCGTACAACCCAAAGATGATATCAAGCAATATGGGGAGGGTGTGAGTGATGTCCATATCGAACTTCCCAACCGCTGAAATAGTATCGGTGACCTCTTTAAATGAGTCGTCTATCGCTTTTGGGTTCTTGAAATTTGTATGTAACGAGCTGAGGAGTTTATGGACGTTTTTACTCTGTGTGTATACATTGGACATAATCCTGATCTTAAATCGAAGTGTTTGTTCTCTTCCTTTTTCCTCTGCAATTTGGGTCATTTTAGTTGTTGTATAGTTCTCATATGGAAGACCATTAAACACGTGAATAGTGTAGTCTCCGCTTCGAACAACTTGTCCCAGTTGAATGAAAGACATATAAGCAAAGTATGAGTTGATGACCATTTTTTCCATTGGTTCATTCAATTCATTCGTCAGTTGTACTTCTTGAATGACAAACAGCATATGGTGTTGTGGGGTTAACACTACCGGCAGTTTTGCTTTTATTTCGTCCAAAAAGTAGTCTGTCTTTTGATTCACAGAAACACTTGTTGTCACCTTTCTCATGAACAAATTGTTGACCTTTGACTTGTTATAAAAGAGTGGAAGGTATGTGTCGTCTCTATGGAACTTAGTGTCTTCCTTTCTGATATAACAATTAATCAAAAAGCAGCCTTTCTTCTTCTCTCGTTGTAAGTTAAGTTCTTCAGGATAGATGTAGACGTTATTCACAAAGTCGGTGAAGAACATTTCGTTCTTACTAAAGCACGTGAAGTCCTCCAATTGTTTAATAAATGTGTTGCTTGACCCACTACTTGAATTTTTGACACACTCAAACCCACTTGGATCAAACACTCGATATGCACTGGTGTCTTGCAACTTCATCACTCGCAATTCCCATGGTTTGATCCCCGTCGGTTTCACTTTCCCTAATCCAATTTTCTCAATCATTTTCAACAAGTCGCCTTCGCCATGAATCGCCTCTTTGTACATCCATATTGGATACGCTCGTTCGTTTCCTTTCAACTCAGTAATTCCAGTGAATATATGTTGTCGATAAAATCGATACACACTCTTCGATGCTAAATGTTCTCTCCTTTTGTCGAGCTTTTTCCTCTTCTCCTTTCTTAACTCTTCGATGTCAGAAACCTTCTCTTCGGCTTTTTCAGGGTCGTCCTCCTTTTCAGATTTCTCGGATTTCCCCGTCTTGGATTCTTTATCGCCAATTTCGGCGTTCTCCACTTTGGAAGACTTGTCTTGCACTTCGACGCTTTCCTCAGTCTCCGTTTTCTCCACGGCACTCGAAGAGACTTGTGAATTGTCTGTTTTTGATTGCAATTCAGTCCTTTTGCGTTCTTTCTCAAAGTCCTTTTTCTCCGCCTTGTCCTTATACAACACTTTGACGTCTTCGATATCGACTTCCGCCATTTTGTAGAAGTAAAACACACCAAAGAACTTCCTCTTTTTTTCTTCTATTTCTTTGAGTCTGATGATAAATTTGGAGCACAGCATATCTTCATATTCGTCGGGTTCTTTACTTTTCACTAAGGCTCTGTTCTCTGGTGAGTTCAAGTCGATGAAGTAGTTCTCCGTAATCTTCACGATTTTGTCGGTCTGATCGATCACTTCGTAGATTGCAAACTCGACGAAAAAGGGTTCATATTGTATCAAACTTCTCGCTTCAATTTGCATCAAAAATACACTCCCCTCGGCATTAGTGTTTTTCAAGACTTCAATTTTCTCGTGGACGTTGGTCTGTGTTTTGTCATGTAAATAATTTTCATACAAATTACCTTTGACTGTTCTCACATCCTCTAAAGTCGTCTTTCTGAGTAATTTTGGGTCCGGCTCCTCGCTCTCTTTCATTTCAGCGATATTAGATATCGACATCCGCTGTTTTTGACTCAGTTCAGTCTTGGGAGTTAAATAGACGACTTCTGTTGTTGGATCGAGTAACATCCCCAAATAAAGTTCTTGTTCGGAATTAAGTACGTCTTTGTCTTCGACTACTTTAGACCTTGTTACGTTCGAGAACATTGGCTTCGACAAGTGTTTGATAGTGACGTCTGTAGGATTGTAATTGGTACATATTGTAGGCACACCATCATCTTTAAGTTGCTTTTCAAAGATATCGCTCCATTTTGTGGGCTTTGAGTTTTGTTCGTCTTGTGTGTCGAAATAGTTTGTTTTAAAATCATCGTACATTTGTTGGAAGTCTAATAAATTGAGCTTCTCCCCAGTAATCAAATTCTTCTTAAGAATTTTCTTTATTTTCTCATCAGAAAAGTTCAACCCATTCGACTCGTAAAATTTTCGAATTTGAAAAAAATCCAATTCATTCACATGTTCCGTATCAAGTCGCTTAAACTCAGTCTCGGCTTCAGCTTCATTCGTTTTCGATATTTGATCAAATGATACCCCTCCATGTTTGTGAGAGGTCGTGATCGCAAGATCGTGAGTCGGTCGGAAACCATATTTCTCTAGTAACTCAGCCATCTCAATATAGTTGTTCAAGATCTCGAAGTTTTTTGGGAAGATTTTGAGAAAGTGAAAGTAAACATTCGTTAATTTAATTGATAATTGGAACTTTCATTATTTATATATAAATTGTCGCACAAAAAAAGATAAAATTGGATTATTTTATTATTTTACTAACTTAGGCTTTTATATAAAAAAATTATATATTATATTATATAGAAAAAAGATGAAAGACAATTACCCCAATAATTTATAAAATGTTTATTTGAAAAAATTTATTTCAAGAAAAAAAAACATTTTTTGAAATTTACTTTATTTAATTAAATATAAATTATTAGTTGATAAAAAAATTGATATTTCAATTAAAAATTATAATTAAATATTGTTAATTTTTGTTTTAATATTTTTATTACTAGTTTTAAAAACATTGTTTTATAATTTCGAAGTGTCATATTATAATTAATATATAATATATTAAACCATTTATCATTATTTTTTTTAAATTTATTTAGTTGTTAAAAAAAACTTTGTTTTATTATTCATCAAGTTTTGTGTATTGATTGACACCAATTATTTAATGTTAATTTTTACGTGTTTATATCATTTAAATACAACCACATTCTGTTTTCACAATCTTGATTTACCAGTTTTTTTGATTAATAATAACATTTTTTCAATAAATAATGTTTTGTTGATAGAAAACAAAAACACTGTTTATGGTTTTATTTAAATATTTCAAAATACTAAAGATAAATAAAGAAAAAAATAAATTGTTGTTTGTGTGGTTGGCTTTCAAAATTCATATAACAATCAAGTTGTTTTCTTACATTTTAAGTGGTTTGTGTATGACTGATCAAACATGAAGACCCTTTTGTTTACATTTTTAACTACTCATTTAAAAAGTATTTTCTTGTATAATGTTTGAGGTAATAAAAAAATAACATTTTTATTATGTACAATAACAATATCGAATCGTGTAACTGAACTTATTGAATAAAAACAATTTTTTTTCCAATTTTCTATATTTCTCAAATGGAAATAAAGCCAAAAAATGGAAAAAATTATTAATAAAGCTAAAAAATAATTACTTGAAACCAAAAAAGTATATAAATTTTGCTTGTTTTACAAAATATAATATTTTGTTTAAAGAAAAAAATGTTTCAAAAATCGAAAATAGTTTTTTTATTAAAAAAAATCAAAATAAAGTTTGAGACTCAATCCAATGTATTGTTGAGATTTGATTCTTTTCAAAAACTTGTCTTTCTGTATTATTCAAATAATTATTTATTTTACTATATATTTTATAATGAAATAATAATTAAATAGCATTGCTCAATAATATGATAATTTTGTAAACTTATTATAAAAATAGTAATAACTAACGTTGATTTCCAGTTTTTTTTAGTGTTTTAAAGATTAAAAATACAGAATCAATTTGACTCATTATTTCTAGGAATGGATTTTTAGTGAACAAATTCTCTCAGTGGTGGTTAGTTTTTGGACGGTTTTTTCTTCTTAATCCATTGACTTTTTATTGAAGTATTTTATGTATAATACTCCATTTCTTTCCTCTGTTGTTTCAGGGTATTTCATATAACATAACAAGTCCACATAATAACATTCGATATAAATAGAACAGTCTGAGTTTATTCGCATTTCTTCGAAAACTGGACAACACTTTTGTATAATATAACAAAACAGTTTTATATTAGCAATAAAATACACTAAAAAGCGGGTAAATCACAATTCGAAGTAAACAATTATTCAAAAGTACGGCAAGAAAATTCCGTGATGTAAAAATAGAAAATCGCCTAGAAACGCTAAAAAAGGATGAAAAGTTCCAAATTTCCATATTTCAAATTATTTGCCACATTCGAAATTCTTCGGTAGAATCAGAAAAAGCTAAAATCAAATTAAAACAAACCAGTGTTGAATATATCAATCAACTGAAAGCTTTTGGCCAATCAAAATTCTTAAAAATAGCACCTTTACCTTTTCAGTTCTCCCTTATTTATTTGGAACTATTTTCATCAATCCAATGAACTTCCAGTTAGGCAAACTCTTTCGAACAAAGGCGTCTTATCAGCACGACTACTCCTCTTTCAAAGTAACAAATACAAAAACAAAGCCTTGGAAAGAGGCCAAATACATCGAAAGGAAAAAAGAAAATCAGAACATTGAAACATGTGAAGCGATGGTATTGCTCGGTCTTGTCAATTTAAGGTCATCGTTGACCTTTGAGAAACCTCATAAACAGAACACCGACTCTTCCAACTTACCTCGAATCACCAAAATGATAGTTGACGAGAACGATGAAATGGATTTGTCTACTTTACTTGAAGTGCAATGTCGCCAAAAATTACAGCATGAGCTTGACATGGGCATATCACATTCCACTGCTCTTAGAAGATTTGAAAGAAACAAAAAAGTCTTTTTCATCAACTTTTTAGTCGACTTGGCAACATTGATGGACTTCGAATTGGTCTCAATAGTCTCACGAAAGAGTGGAAAGACCATTCAAATAGACAGGGTTGTGACTATCAACAAGCCTGGTATTTGTTCGTTTGGTAAGCACGAAATCCTTGAGAAAGGTGAACTTCTCAGACAATACTTTGTATCCCTTGGCATGAACAAAAAGAATTTCGTGCTGAATCAGAGTGATGATGTTGTTCTTCAAATATTGACTGGATGTTCTCAGTGACTTTTTACATACTATTTTATATACAAAATCTTTTGTTATTAATTGATTTCTATATTCCCTTTTATTCCCTCGTCTCTACATATCTACTTGTTCTGTAGATGTTTATCAAAGACACTCAAATGAATGCAAATATAACATATCATTCTTAATTAACTCTACATAATATTACTCAAATACACTTTCCCCGTTTCAGACCCAGACAAGATATAATCTTCGCCAACGTACAATGCAGTGATTCTCGATTCTGAAATACACACCGTCGACATCTTACCCATCCAACACATGGAACAGTCCAGTTTATTTACCAATTTGTCATTGCCACCAGTCACAATAACTCGATTGCCACACCGAATTTTGTTCACTCCACCCACATGAACGGTGCGACCAATACATAACGCAGAGTATCTTTGGTCCCACAATTTGACCACAGAGTCATTCGAACCCGTCACAATATAATTTCCATATGTGTCAAAAGTGGTGACGTTCTCTTCCAAGAGTCCAAACGTGTATTTGTTGACTCTTCGATCAAATCCTCTGATTTCCCCTTTATACGACAAAGTGACGTACATGTTATTCATCATCTCTCTCACGTCTTTCACTTCACTACTATACGGTTTAAAATAGAACAAAGCTCTCCCAACATTCAAATCAACAATACTAACACCGTTAGAATAGCTCAACATCTTACTCGTGTCTTTTAAAAATGTCATCCCCTTACACTCATTGATTTTAAACTGTTTCTGTGGTTGAATAGACTGAGAAAAGTCTGTGTTATATTGTTCAATCACACCAGTGGAATACCCAATTCTGACTAAATTGTTACGTACACCAATATGAACTACATTCTCCGGAATTCTCTTCACAATGTGCTCTTTGTTTTTATAATCAAAAATCACACACTGTCCTTTGAAGTCCGCCGCCATCACAAAATCATTTACCTTCACAACTTCTTTCACCTCAAAATTAAAAAGAGGGAACATTTCAGTTTTGAAACTACACTTCCCCCAACTCTCTCTAATCCTTCTACATGTATTGACCAAGTCTAAATAACACGTCGACTGTATTTTTGGCTCTAAACTGTATTTGTTGAACGAATGAATGTCATATTGTGAATTATACACCTCTTCCCATATCTTTTTACTCTCTTTGATTGTATTAAACATTCTGTGTATAAGCAGATTCATTTATTACAAAGTAAATGTAACACAAACTTTTTTGAGGTATTCATCAACATGATGATCTCGCTGTGCTTAAGGTAAAAGCAGATCTTCTGTAAATTGGATATACACAATTGGTCGAGTTTTATTCCATTTGATACTGCTGTACCAAACAGACATGTGTTGTTACACGGAAAGCATGGTACTCCTTTCTTCACGTCTTTTTTGATTCCTCTTTTCTCCATTTCGCTTTTGATATATTTCGAGTTCTTCATGTTGATGACAATCGCGTCAAACAAATTTGAAGAAGTGAAATCGTACAATGGATGGATATCATATGCTAAATACAAACACGACAACATCACTCCAGACGAGATATTTTCTATACATATTTTCCTCTTCTGTTCGCTCATTGTTTTGAACTGTGGAGTGAAGAAGTGGAGGGCAAAGAGGGTGTAACAAACTGGCCCAGCAATACTGACTAAGACCCCTCCCAAGATATATTCAAATGTACGTTCTTTAACACACAACACATTCTGTTCATAATTCAAGTCGTTTGTCTCAGTCAAAAAGAACAAGTTGCTATCAACAACATTCGATCCAACCTTCACTTCGCACTCTCCCGTCTTCTCTCCGAAAAATGGAGACTTCTTTCTTAATACTGTGAAGTCTTGAGTCTTCTCGACAACGTCAATTTCAGTGAAGATGGAGTTCTTCTGCGCGATCGAGTTAAGTCTTTCCAACACTCCTTCGACAGTGAGTTCGTGTGTTATTGATCCTTTCACGACTATTTCACTTAAGTCGTAATTACCAACAATAGTGTAAAATTGTGTCTGTAACAAAACCCTAAAGAACTCGTGTTTTCGTAACATGTGCAATTTATAAAAGCGTTGTTCGCCATCAATCACTTGTCTCCAGTAATACGATTTAGACAAGTACCCGTTCACGTTGTGCGTCAATTTTTTACAAAATGAGACACAGAAGAATTGTGCTGACACGAGCATTTTCGGTACATTATCTAATGGAAATATCGCGGTGATCGTCAGAACCGTAAATGGCATTTGACCAATTCCGTTTTGCCCTCTTTCAAACCTGAAGAAGAACGAATTGAATAACTGTGGCCTGTAGTTGAAGTCTGTGCAAATAAAGCAATCGGAAAAGCACTTTCGAGTGAACGACGAGAACACCTCCCCACAAAAAGAAAGTCCTGGGAAGTATATGATTGATATGTATTTGTCTGGAACGTATTTATTGTCACATTTCTTAGTATCCAAAATTGTTGGTACACATTGATGGATGGAGTATATGTCATTAAATTCATTCGACACTTCCGAGTAGTCGTAAGGGAGATATGAGACTGTTTCGGAGACAAAGTCGTTATCCGTTTGTGTGACTCTGCTCCTCATATTATAAAGTGGTGGAGAAACTAAGGGGGGTATTTCCTTCCATAAGTAATCCTTTCTAGTGTGGATGTCACCATATTTTTCGAAAATAGACTCGATGGTGTCCTCTTTTAAATCCATGTATGCTTGTACGTATGTATTTAACTTTGGTTTTTTATAGTTCTTTAATAATACCACGATCCGATTTAAGAAAACCAAAATTTTTAATATGAATAAGAAATCCCAAGTAAAATAAGACTTACTTGTTGTTTATTTAAACATTTTTTGTATTTCAAAATCTATTCCTTTTTAACTTTCTTTTTCTATTTTTTTGAAATGGTTGTGTTTATAAATAAATAAAACTATATTTTTGATATTTGTCTTTGTGGGGTCAAAACTCAATCATTTTTTTGGTTTCCTTCATATTTTTTATTTAATTGTAATTAAAAATAAATTGGGTTTTATTTTATGATTTGAGTATAATATAAAAAACCATTTATATAAAATTTGTCTTATCAATTATTTTTCCAAAAATAGTTATTCTTTTAAATAAAAATGTTCAGTTAAAATAAGAACAATTATATCGGATTATTTTTTAGTTGATATTTTAGTTGCAATCAAACTACACTAAAATAAAAAATATATCTTCCGATATAAAACACTTACTTGATTATTTAATCGAATAATTTAAAACAAGGATGATAAAAATATTTTTACAATTATATACTTTGACGTTTAATATCTTGAAATTTATAAAAAAAGTCAAAATTTAAGTGATAAAACTCAAAATCAAATTTTATAATAAAGAAATAGTATTTACAATACCAGTCCATAACAAAAACAATTACGAGAGAATATGAGATTGAGAAAGTCGTAACGAAAGTGAACACCTCATTTTGTTGAAAGAGAAAGTGTATATAAAGCAGTGGGGCAACTCATCATTCAATGGCCAAAATTACCCCAGAACAACTGATTGAAGGTCGCAAGACTTTGAATCACACTGCCTCCAATGATCGAAGTTCTCCTGTGATTCCCAAGGACTTCTCGTTGAAAATGCGAGAACAGAATTTGTTTGCATTTCTTCCCTTCCAGCAAGCCTTCCTTAAGCATGCAAACACGTCCGACAGAAGTGCTCCCGTTGTACCAAAGCATTCGGAGAATTTGATGTCAAAGCAGCATCAACGCCTCATGGCAGAAGTAGTCAACAGGTCTGAGTGATTAAAATTATTGATTTGATTAATCTTAGTACTTTTAATTATCACAGACGAGAAAATTTGGATTTAAAAATATGAATTCAAACATCACTTAGTTCTTGAAAGGACAGAGTGGAAATTTTCATTGAAAAATCCCATTTCCGTTAAAGTCTTCAAATTGATGGCAATCTCATTGTCATCAAAATCAAGACTGTGCTGTTGATTGGTACTTTTGAGGTATTCATTACCCGCAGACATTCCAGAAGAAATGACTCCAAGAGACGCCAACAATGCCATAGCCTCAGAGTTCCCTTCTTTAGCAATTTCAACGACTTTTGATTTCCATTCCTCAAGACTCAAAGTGTCTAAGGTGTAATTCATCGACTCCAAAACAGTAAATAAAGTCTCGACTTTCGTTGAAACCATTGGTATCATGTTGATCACTGCATTCGTGTCGCAATTCTTGACGGTGACCTGTGCAACTTTGTCGACTGGAGTCAATGGAAGTGATACGCCACCAAATCCTATATGATTCAAAACACTCAACCGAAGCATTTTATACACAAAGTCATCAGTGTTGCATATCCCAGTTTTGCTGTCCGCAATAATGAAAGATGGTCGAATGACTGATATACTACACCCAACACTCCGCGCCTTTTCTACAACTTTCTCACCCATCCATTTCGATTGAATATACCCAAATGCACCAATTGGAACCTTTTCAGAGATCGTCTCGTCTCTGTTTAAAGCAGCTCCTATAGTCGAAATGTAACATATGTGTGCTCTTTTCCCAGCAAATTTAATAACATTCACAACTCCATTGACATTGTCCTTTTTCAATTGATCGTACGACTTCGACCAATTGACCACAGCAGCACAGTGAATGATCAATCTACACTCGTCTTGAAGTTCTTGATAACACTTCTCCTCCACACCCATATGGTCTTTTGAGACATCACCAACGATCACGTGTATTTTGTCACTGCGAGTAAGTCCCGTCTTGCGAAGCATAGCGTTCATCTTCTTGTCTAATTCACTCTTATTTGCACTTCTGCCAATGCAGTACACTTTCTTTGTATCTGCACATTTGCATAATTCGTTGACTATATAGATTCCAAGGTATCCCGTAGCACCAGTCACTACAACACTTTGTCTGGTTGTGTCGTCTTTCTCTGGAAGTTCTCCAAAAAGGTCTTTGTCGCTCTGTGAAGTTAATACTTCCAAATCAGTCATTAAAGAACAACTGTGACAGTTGGCGTCTGAAGTAGGGTTTTCAATATAGTCTTCGATCTCTCCTATAGTCACTCTATTACTCAACAAATTGAAAGGAGCATCTTTCACATGTTTTCTGACATAAGCCACAGTCTGTGCACCAACAAAAGAGTCTCCTCCCAAGATATAAAAGTTGCTGTCTCTCGACAACGCACCAATCGGAATATCAAAGAGTTCACTCCACACCTTTGCGATCTCTTTTCCAGCTTCAGTCTTTGGTTTATTCGTGTTCTTTTCAATCGCCATTTGCCACTTCTCTTCTATAAGTCCTTTCACCATTTCTTTCAACTTCGGCGCATACAATTTGCCAAATGAAGTTCTTGGGAATTCTTGAAGAGGGAAAATGAATGTTGGAATGGAGAACGGGACTAAGTGAAGGTTCAAATAACTTTTTAATTCACCTTCGATATCGTCAAACGTTTGGTCTTTTTTGACTATAATAAACGCAACAACTGCCTCTCCTTGGATCTTGTCTGGTATACCAATCACTGCACTCTCCTGTACCTTGGGGTGCTTATTCAATACTTCACAGATCTCTATCGGCCAGACATTATGTCCCCCACGAATGATCATGTCTTTGACTCTCCCAGTGATTCTCATGAAGCCATTTTCTTCCAAAACTGCTTCATCCCCTGTTTTGAACCATCGCTCTTTATCAAAAGATTCTGCATTTGCCTTAGGGTTGTTTAAGTACTCTTTCATCATGATTGGAGAGTTCACCTCAAGTTCTCCTGCAAAGCCGATTGGGAGAATTTCTCTTGTCTCGTGATCAACAACACGGACTTGGTAGTTTGTAATTGGTCCAGATGGAACGTTAACGGACTTTGCTGGCATTCTGTACATCATACCTTCTTGTCATTCTCGATTCTATTTTATTTTAAGGTACATGTTTATCAAGTGATATACATCATATTAGTAACAACAAACCACATAATTCAGTCATCCCATAACCACCAGAACAATACTCTAAATGTAACCCCTGTTTAATGCTTTCAAGGAATTGGTCAGTTGTTACAGCTCCACCAATTACAGCTTCTCTTAATGTCGACAAGTCATACTTCGACTTATTTGGGTGTTTCAAAAGTGCAAGAAATGCAGGAGGAGCACCATTGACATTAGTAATTCTGTCGTCTTGGATTATTTTAAATATTTTCTCGGTATCAAACTTGTCAGTGAACACGTAGTAATATCGTTTTAGTATCACACCGTCCATAACAATATGTCCAGTTGTTGTAAACATTGGGACAAAGCTCAGTGTGCGCCTCACAGAAGGGTCGACCATAGACGAGTTCAAAATAATATTAGCAGTGAATGACTTATTTTCATACACACACACTTTGGGTTCTCCAGTACTTCCCGAAGTGAGACCATAGAACAACGAGTCTGATGGTAATATCTGGTTTCTTTCCTCTTTCAGTTTGCTGTAGTCTGTTTCTTCACTTTGAAAAGCGGAGTAGCTGTACATCGTTTTTCCGTTTTCTTTCATTTTATTGATATCCTCATCTTGTGCATCAATGGAAAGAACTTTCATCTTTGCGTCTGCAGCATAGACCAGAGGGGCCATACATGTTTTAGTCACTATTAAAGCGGGGTTCACCTTTTTAAATAAATTAAGTAATTGCTCCACTTTATATAAAGGGTTAAGGGGCATCATAATAAATCCAGACGCTTCAATAGCAGCCTCAGCAACCAAATATTCTACACAGTTGGGGAGAAATACACAAACAACATCTTTTCTTTTTATATGAGCTATAGTATAAAGTCCACTGGCCATTGAGTCAACTAACTTGTGAAACTCACCCACAGTCAATTCGACTGGATTTGGAAGGGATGAAGAAACATATTTGAACGATTTGTCGTCTTTGTACGTCATCATATCTTCATACCTCTTCGCAAAGACTTCATCTCCAACGTCAACGTGTTTTGCGGAGTAGACACTCTTGGTTAAGTGCACATTTTCCATGATGATTGTTTTTATTACTATAAAGATCGTCCACCTTTTTTAGACCGACTGCACTCATTTTGCACCTTAGTTCATTTCGTCAATTTAACACATATTCATTTAATGTAATTGTTTCTTTGTTCATTTTTTTCCAACCAAAAACACATTCTATTTTATTTAGTCTTCTTTGGAAATAAATAGTCGGGTTATTTGCCAAACAATTAATTAATTTTAATTATTTCATAGTTTTTGGGAGGATTTATCATTTCCCAAGTCATTTTGAAAGTCCAGTTCAATTGGAAAAAAAACAAACATACAATTGTTTTTTCCAAAAAGACAAAACCTATAAAATAATTAATTTTTTCTATACTATTATAATAAGTTAATTTTCTTTGTTTTTTGTTTTTTCACAAATGCAAAGAAAATATATTTAATATCTAGTAAAATATACTATTTATTACTAATTTAAAAATCACAAGTTGTTATTCTTGTTAAAATGTTAACAATTCGTTGAAAAAAGATTTTAAATTTGCCACTAGTAGTTTATTTTTCGTCTTTTGTTACTTAATAAATGAATTAATTTCACAGTTTTATTTTTTTTGGTATTTTTTTTGTAAAAAAGTTTATTATAGATAATATATAGTTATTAAAACAATGTATTTATTTTATTTTAATAATATATCATTTTATTGATTAAATTGTATATGATATAAAAATAATTTAATTTAATAGATAGTATTGTGAAGATCACAAAATGAAAAATAGACTATATAATATATAGTATATATAAATATATTATATACTATATAATATAATATATATAATATAATATATCCAGAATAATAAAGTGTATTAAATGTTTGTTTAATTTATTTTAATTAAAAAAAAATTTTTTTTAAACTGTTTTTTATTTCATTGCAAATTTTCTTTTATTTTTCATCATTCACGTTTTTTTTTAAAATATCTATATATTGGTCAATGAGGAATAAAAACTCTATCTGTTTTGAGGAATATGTGGTTTATTGCTAAATCTGAAATGAATAAACAACCAACAACATCGACACCAAAAAATGAGTTTTATTAAAGTGCTAAATCATTTATGAAAAAAGTGGTTTAATGTTTTTAAAAATCTGTTGTTTTTTTCATTAAAAAAGATAGAAAAGTATCGATATTGTGTATGGCTTTTTATTAATTTAGCATAAATATAAAAACTGTGAAATGTAATTTCAAATACTTTTTCAAGAAAAAGGATAAAACACACAAAAAAACTTTTTTTAACACACAAATGAAAAGCAAAATAATGGGCAATTTAAAACATACCTGTTTGGATTTATTTTTCTTCGTCGAAACTAAAGTAAGTAATTTTGTCCCAAACCTACAGGTTAATACTCGTTTTATTTGTTTTTCATATCATTTATTATAATTTGAACAAATTGCCAATAAACACGGCTTCAACAATGCTAAATAATTGTGCCCAAATAATTATTTTATAAACACTTTTTTGAGAAAAATTATAAGAGGGTATTAACAAATTATTTTTTTCAAAAACAATTATTATATTAATAACTTTTTTATTGTTTTTTTATTTTTCAAAAATAAATCACCAACCAAGAAGGGTTATCTATTTGTCATTAAACAGTATTATTAATTAATATCATATATAACAATTTAATTATACATATATAGTTAAATAATTATTGTAAAACCCAATAACAAATATATTTATATAGATTAAGACAATAGTATAAATATAATAATAATAAAAGAAGTAATTTGTAGTTGTGAATTTCCATTTCCCGGCGAATCCATATTTTTCATTAAAACAATGATTTTTAAAATCACTCATCTGAAGTTGTTTATTCCCTTTATCTTTATTATAGTAAAATATAGTTAATTTGTAGTTAAAAACCAAAGATAGTAATTTAAAAAAATGAAAATTAAATCTGCGTTTATTTTCAAAGAAAAACAATAAACTATTAATAATAATAAATAAACATATACTAAATAGTAATAAACGAAAAAAAAACAGAAGAACGAAATTAATTACAAAACTGGCTGATATAAAAACAAGTAAATTCCAACCGTATTTCAGTTAATTTTTGTCAATCAAATCGGGGTTTGTCTCTTCAAAATAACAAAAATGAAAACTTGATGATAATACGAAGACAAAACAAGAAAAAAAGGACCGATTACTTTTTAATAGCAATATAACCCGTTATAACACAGTGATATCGCTGCATACTTTATGTGTATTACAATTCAGTCAAAAAAGACCGTAAAGTACAAAACGAAGATGAAAAAGTGGAGAAGCATCTGCGTCGAACAAATTCTTCTAAACGTGGAAAAAAAAGACGGGTTATCTACAGGAAGGTTCTTCAACAGGTATTGACTGGCGAAAAGTTTAGGGCAGCGAACGCGTGATGCTGCTGTTTTGTATTTTACTCGTTTGTTCTGAAATGGAAAAATTAATTGATAAAGGGTTCACTTAACTTGATAAGCACTTAATGGGAAGTAAGCAGAGCAGCCAGTCACTTAACAACAGTAGAAGTAGTGGGAGTGATCCAACGATATCACCTCGTCGTTCATGTAGTCCAGTTCAACGTGCATGTAAAAAGGGGTGTAAACTGAGTCGAAGTGAGACGTATATAGAGCAAGACAAGGCTTTTAAATACATTGAGAGATATACAGAGCTCATGCAAAGAGTCAACAACTTTGAGAACAAATTTGTGAACCAGAGCTATGAGAAGATAATTGAGGAGGTTGGGTGTATTGACGAAAAGTCGATTGAACTTTCTGAAGAGTTCATTCACGCTCACGCAGTAAAGAAGGTGTTTGCTACAGTCGACTATGAAAAGTCGCAAATGTATGTGAGAGACTTGCACTTGGCGTGTATCGGAAGAGAAGGAAATGGGTGTAAGTTCCAGGAGAACCACGACAAAATCGAAGTCTTGTTATGGAAGGTCAAAGCAGATAAAGAGATCCAACTCAGAAATGAATACCTCAAAAGTATCGACGACTTTGGGGAATTGTATAGCGGAAATGCAAATGAGAAAGACTTGGACGCCATGTTCAAGAAGATTGAAAATAGTGTCAGGATGTATTTGAAAGCAAAAGAGTTAGAAAATGAACAACTACAGTCGGAACAGAATTATATAACTCGTGGATTTATACAACAATTCCCAAACTATAGAGTCCCTGTCTGACTTGTGTTTTGTAAACCAATTATTTATTATTTTATCATTTCATATTATTGTTATTTAATTGTACTATAAATAAAACTTAATAATGTTATTTGAAAGTCGAAATTATTACTTGAAAAATATTAGAGCAGATACCTTTGATATGAGTCTTTTTTCGTTTAAGATCTTGTTATAATCACAATTGACAATTGATTAAAAAACTATAAATAAATAAAAAAAATGATGCTAAAAGAATAAGAAATTGTTTTGAGTTGAAAACAGTTTGTGTCTAGAATAGAAACAATGACATATTGAGTCGATACCAAAATAATTACCATTTGAAAATAACAATTTAACTAATAAAAAATGGATTAATCAGACACAATCCAAATATAAATAGAATGCATGTGAAAAACAGAAAAGTGTTTGTTGTTGCTTTCGTTTTGTAATCAAAAAAGCAAAGCACTTTAAATTTAACAGTGTTTCTGGACTTAGAAATACAAAATGAAGATATTTATTTTACTCGCTTTAGTTATATTTTCGACGGCACACAAAAACAAAGAGAGCAAACCAAACAAAGAAAATAAAGCACAACAAAAGAAAAAAGAAACAAAGAGTGTTGTGAAGCAAATGCTTATTAATATTCTCTCTTTCTTTTCTGCTCACTCATTTGGAAAAAATCACAACCACAACAATGCGACTCAAAGCAATCAAACAATCATTCAAAATAATACTCTCACAAATCATACTAAACCTAACAAACCTCATAGACATCAAAATGATACAAAACCAGAACATCACCATGAAAGGAATCAAACAAATTCTATTTCATGTGATAACACTACTCATCCTTGTGACAACGATAAACCACACCATCATCATCATCGCCACCATCACCACCATAATGAAACCGAAGGACTAAACAAAACTCATGTTGATGTAACTAAGAATTTTGATAACAACGAGACTCAACACAGTGAAGACCCACATTTTAAACCACACCATCATCACAACAGACATGATCACCATCCCCAACACCACCACGAAGATGATAATAATAACATACAGAACAATAATGAAACTCAACAATTTATTAAAGAACACAAACAAAAAAATAGAAGAGAGTACAAAAGAAATAGAAAAGGAGAAGTTAAAAACTAAAAAAAAGTAATTTATTTATTTTTGTTATCTTTGTCTTGATAGAAATAACATCAAGACAAAATTTATAAACGATTTTATAAAACTATTTATAAAATCGTTTCAAATTTTTTTAACTGTATCAAAATTAAATTAATAATATTCAAGTATAATAATTCGCATAACTGTACTATATTATTAATTAAAAATAAACAAAACAATTGTTTACACCACTAAACTCACTCAAAACACTCAACACACCTTCCTCTACTCAACACCACTCAATATGAATTGACCGGGAATGAATTCTTAACAACAAACCGAACCTTTTCGTGCAATGTGATTTTTAAAACCCCCTTTGTTTGTAAATAAGGCTCACCATCGTACTGGCATGGAACGTCCTCATCCAATTGAATTTCGATTTCTTTACCTTGTGCTATTCGGATTGGCTTGGACGCACCCGTTCCGCTGACACAAGCCCCCAAATGAATAATCGAAGAAAAGCCAACAACCTCGATTTCCCCATCGCCGATATGCAGATCATGAAACCCATACGCCATCTCCGCTAATGACACACTCGGCCAAAACTTATTTCCTCCTCCGTATGTCGGGAGGTTGATTAGAGCAAGTCCTTCTATTTTCGGAAGCTCAACATCTCTCCCATCGACTTTCAAATGCAATGTTGTATACAACTTGACTTCTGGCGGAAGCAGATGCTCTGTCGAGCACATCACGTACTGAATTTTGTTTGCAAGGGGCGACTTGAATTTCTCCGGGTTTGCGTTTCTTTTTGTGTGAAACGTGAGGGCGATCAATGCATCTATCCCTATCGAGTAGTAATTGTTGAACACATGGAGGGGTTCTGTCGCATCCCCAACTACTACTTTCCAGCGATCTATTTCGTGGACAGACGCGTCACTGACTTGTGGCAGAAGATCATAAATGTCTTGACCGTCATACCCTCCTCCCCATCCCGTTGATATCGACATGTCATTTCCTGTACCCAATCTATATGTTATTTATTTATTAAATGTGTAATTAGTATATCAAACAAACGGTATCACATAGATCTTAGGACGAAGCCCCGCTTTCTTTAATTCATCCATCACCCACCCGACTGTCCCATCTCCTGTTATTTAATAAGACTCTTACCATGTGATAGTAATAGTAATTATTATAGTATTAATAGTATAGTATAGTAATAGTAATTAATAATAGAAATAATAATTACATTAATTAAATTATTAATAATTAATATTTTAATTATAAGTAACAAACCACCACATATGACAGCTATAAAGTCATTCCCATAGTCTTTGATATATTCAAACGGCTTCTTATACCCCCAGAACACATTATACACTTGAGTGGGATTAAAGATGCCAATGGCTTGCCTGAAAATGTCGGATCCAAAGTGCCCACCCGACTTCTTGTTGATGAAAAAGATCATCGGCTCAACTGATTTGTCGTTGGTGGCTTTATACCAGTCGCCCGATGGTTCCACAAGACGCGGAGGGACAACAAACTTCCCAAGCCGCCCTCTGAAACAGACATTGGGGACTTTGTCGATACACTTTGGATCGACACAAAGACCACACCACGCACAGACATAATGTGCCGCAGAACTTGTGTCTCCACATACAACACAAAGGCCGTTTCCTCTGTTTTTAATGTTTTGAACGAACCAATGAGTGTCGTGGGAGCCTTTTAACGTGAAAATTGGTCTGCATGGGATAGCCAATTTTTTGATACACTTCTTGTGGACATTCATCCCACAAATAGCACATTGGTACCTTTTAATTAACAATTCAAAGCAGACGGGACAGAAATGACCAAGAGCTCCAGACTTCTTGTAGAACGAGTGTTGTCCGTTCTTCAAATCTTTCTTGTGGAACGTCGGGGCGGGGATTTGTAAATGCCCATCTGCTTCCTTAGGAATGCATGGAGTGAAAACATGTTGGCAACATGACTTGTGAAATACACAGGAACATTTTGTGCACTTCGCAGACGGTCCAACAATGAGTTGACCACATGACGTGCACTGCGATGAGACAACAAAGTCGTCTTTGAAGTCGTGTTGTGATTGAAACAAACACGAATTCTTCAAATCATCGACGCGAACACCAAGTTGGGACTCGGAAATGTTGATGGACATTTTACTTTTTGAGTCCATTTTTGTTGTGTGACCTTTTGAATAAAAATTTAGTCACCTTTGTGTGATTCTAGTCTTCAAGACATTTTGTCTATTCTTTCTTGTTTTTTTCACCACATTTTTGTATTCGAAAGTCGAGACATTTTTGCTCCGTAACAAATAAAGTGGCGGATTTCTTGTGACATCAATCAAACGTTTTTCCTCTGGTTCCTCTCCACATCGTATTTTTGTGTTTCACTTTTCAAAAAGTCAATGCAATTGGCTCATTCGGTATTTTTACTATATTTTTATAATAAAAATGCTATTATTGCATAATTTCGTTTTTTATGATTTTTCGGAAATAAAAAAACATTTTTTTTTAAACTAAAAAGAGTTAAAATTATATTAAAAAACTAGTAAAGCTTATTTTTTTGTAAAAAGAATTCGAATTATTAATAAGTTATTAATATAATATCTATTATATTATTTAATTGATAACAATATAATTATAATATAGTATAATAATATTATCTATACATATTAGTAAAATATTATTAATAATTAAATTGAAAGAACAATTAGATCAAGTTTCTCGCGATTTGCTTCGCTCTTCTATAAACGATGCGCTTTGCAATAATGTAGATAAACAAATTGACGATAAAGAGGAAGATGATGACGATTCCCACAGTAAAGAAAATGTTTTTGTATAACCATTGCCCAAAGTTATTAGCCACTTCTTTCAAATCCATTTCGACTTGGAATCCTTGGTAGACTGCATTCACATCTTCACCACTCACAACTTTAACTTCTACAGTGACATACCCGTTTTGGAGTAACTCGATGATATTGACGACAGCGTCAGTGAATTCCAATTTGAATACAAGTTCTTGGTCTGTAGTACTTATGATTGTTTGTTCAGTTGATGACACATATACTTTATACACATCCTTCAAGTATTTCCCTATCAAACTAACTTCATTCCCCGACTTCACTTTTGCAGGTGTCAATTTCCATATGTCGGGCCACTCTTCGACCTCCCCATTACAAAATTCGTCTTTATTCACACATGTTATTTTACCAGCATATCCAGCGACACTCAACTCTTCTTCTCCCGAACATAACATCCAATTATTATTCACACGAACTCTATACCCCCTCTCTACACACTTCACTCGATAACACGAAAAATCGGGAATGGGTACTGAGTACTTCATTAATGATGTTGTGAAGCACCGAGCGTCTTGCCCAAATGAACTTCCTCTATCTAAGAATGACAAAGATGAGACTGTCTCAAGACTCAACATGTCTTGAGCATAACACTGTCCTCCACTCACTAAAGTAGTGTGAATACAATAGTCCATCAACTCTACCATTCCACCTCTATTAGGGTCTCCATAGTTCTGATATATCGGATCCAACCCAGGACTTGTGTGTGTCGTAGCATCACATATCCCAACAGCACCTCTGTCTGGGGTACATCCTCTGTTCTGGTTCTTCCCGTAATACGGCGCCTTTTCCGGCCAATTGCTGCACTTAAAAAAGTCCTTTTTCATTCCTTTTCCCCACGTCAGTGGCTCTGCAACTGAATAATTTGGTTTAAAAGTCCCCAAATCCTCAAAGTAGGCAAGCGTGAAGTTGGAGAGCGAAGAATACATCGACGACGTTCCAGTCATGATTTCATTGTATAAGACTCGCTTCTCCCAATGAGCTCCAGCAGTTCCACTTCCTCCTCCATCTTCAAACTCGACGTATTCAATTGTTTGGTCGTTAAAGTAGTCTTTAGCTACTCGAAGGACATTTGGGGTGTCGATAACACTGACAGTCTCTTCCCCTTTTCCTTTAGATACTTTGCGTGTTCCGGTACTCGACGAGAAGCCGAGTGCGTGTAACGTTTCATGTAAAAATGTGTGCACGTTGATTCTAAACTTCCCCGGCGTGGTGTCTAAGTTAGCGGGGTTGATGTTGGTGTACCCAAAGATACTTCTCTTTTTCATACGACCATTATTCAAACCAAGATAATCATCAGCAGATCCACAAGATGCAGCATATGCTAAAATAGTGGGTGACTCGACGGGGTGCGATGTGACATACATAATCATTCCAACATCAGAGTCGACCACTTGGTCCTTAATATCAGAAACTTCCCCACAAGAAACTCTCTTCTTGTAGTTATCCTGTAAGATTTGGATAGTGCCGGGGTGGACCTGGAAATACTTGTTCAAATAGTTTTGTACTGACTCGACCATTGATTTGATGTAGTCCTTCTTTTCCGTAGTCAGAACATTCTCTTTCGAACATCCACCACCCTCTGTTAAACATACAGCTGGGTTGCTTGTATATATTCCATCTAACGCTCCCATATCAAACTTCACAATTAGAGGAGTCCATTCGCCTTCAGCTTTAAATTGCTGTTTTAACGTGTCATCCAAGGTGTATAACGTCTCTTCTGTTTGTGCTTGAATTTGAGAATAAATGCAGTCATATGAATAAACTGCTGTGGCGTATAGAATGAAAAACAACATTCTGACTTTGTTTGTTTCTTTGACTGTTTTACAACTCTCATTTATGAATGGGAATTTGTACTAGTTATATATAGTTTTTTTATTAGTATATATGAATTTTGGAAAATACTCGTGTCATTCACCATTCAAAAAACTCTTTAAAATAAAAAATGTTTTTTTTTGGCTGTGTACCTTTTTTCGTTGTTGAAATTTTTTTGGTTTATTTCAAATTTATTTTTTTAGGAAATAATTGGGGTGCAAATTTAGATATTTAGTAAAATATATTAATTTTATTATTTATAATGATATTAAAAAATTTTTTATTAAATTATTAAAAATAATAATAGTATGAATCCCAATTGTTAATTAAAAATCTTTTTCTGTGTTTTCGATTTAGTTCAACAATTCTACTTTTGTCATTCTATTAATATATATTAAAGAAATCATAAAATATACCTTTAAATTAATACCAAATAAATAATGATGCACATTTAATAATTTGTGGTTAAGAATTATACATTCAAAAGTATTTATTACCTATTAATTCATTATTAATAAAATACTAATAAATTATAAAAAATAGAATCTTTCCAGTAATTAATTACTAGTATTAAATAATTTATAATATAATACATTATAAGACACAATAAATCATCACTTGAAAAGTAACCTAAATATCTTATAGTTAGTTAACCATATAGCCTGTTAAGTAACTGAACTATAGTTGACTTACAAACTATATTTTAACCAATCCAATTATAATAAATATATGGTTTAATTAATTATAATTATAACAATTGTTATTTATAACTTTATTTTTAATTAATTAATTAACTATATAACATTATCATTATATATTATAGTTAATTTAAATTATTTTATATAATTGTTATATTTTTTGAATTTTATCCAAATTATAATAAAACCATATATTTATTATAATTGGATTGGTTAAAATATAGTTTGTAAGTCAACTATAGTTCAGTTACTTAACAGGCTATATGGTTAACTAACTATAAGATATTTAGGTTACTTCTCAACTACTTCAATGAATTTGATGTATTATTATAATATAGTTCAATCAATATACTTATTTGTTTCTGAGTGGGTCGGAAATGACAATTCCACCAGTCGCGCTTTGTGCAACACTTGTAGTTGCACCTCCAACTCTTCCAAAAGTTGTCACTCCACCAAACACAGTAGCATTTCCTTTCACTTCGAGTTTCTTGTTTTTAAGTATTTTACGTTCTTCCACCTTCAACTTCGTCTTAGCCAAGTCTCCAAACCCTCTTCCAGCCACAGTCAACTCCGGCTTTCCAAATTCCATTCGGTTCATATCTTTTCTGATTTCCGTCATCGAATACATCTCTCGGATTCTTTTAACCCTCTTCCCCCCTCTTTTGTTCTTTCTTCTCTTCACATCGGGGGGTACAATCACTTTCTTTCCTTTCAAAGGAGGTGGTTTGACCAATTCGGCCACTCGCTTGTCGTACGCTGTCTTTAAAAATCTTCCAACACTTCCATCACCACTTCCCCCTTCAAAGTCAGCTCGTGCGGCAAGTGTCACTTTCCCCGCCAAAAATCGATTCGCTTTCTTTCGCAAATCAACATCAACGTCTTGCACTAAATCTGAGTAATACAAATACCCCGCGTGTGGGACGTGGTGTGTCGACGAAAAGCCATTCAGCGCGATTTGCTTTTGTCCAAGGAGTTGTACGATATTCGAAGGCAACGAGATCATCACGCCGAGTCCTCCGGCCGCTGAAATGAGTTTTGCAGTGATTTCTGGTCCGACGATGGATGTCATATTTGGTGCTAAAAAGTTCATTCGACTTTCCAAGTAGTCGATGACCTCTTGGTAACACTGTTGGAGATGAATCAACTCGTCGCATTCTTTAAAGGCAATTTCGTACTCTTTTTCGTTCAGAAATGTGTTCTTCCGATTCGCAGCAGCTGTGACGACTCCAATGATCACCGCTGGTGTTAATATTTGACTTAAATCAACTTTTGTGATGTCACTCTCCAATTTGATTTGTTTGACAGCCATTGCATACTCCACACTATCCGGGACTAATATCGGCAATTCAGGAAATTGTTTTGAATAGATCTCTTTGATGTGGGTGTGTAACGCACTGATTTGGTTTGTTACTGCTAACAACATTTTAGGTACGTTCACCAGTAGCATATACTCGGGGTCTTTATCCTTTTCTGATATCATCGACATGTCCCTCTGCATGTCGCGATACTTCCGAATCTCCGTCATAAATGTCTCAAACTCGTCATAAGAAAAATTTGTCGCTTCGCTTGGAATGTACTTCTCAAGTGTCTCCAAATCGTTCTCTTGAGCATTTCCATCGTCCATATAAAAGTCGTTTAAAAACTCGTCAGCGAGGCCGCCACCTTCTTCTTCCATTTTTTGCATTTCAAAGTTAAGTTCTTAATTATAGTTATTTATAATATAATGATACATTACAATAATCATACTATAATCATATTATAATAATATTTTTATTATATTAAATAATTTACTCAAACTAAAAAGAACAAAATCTTATTATTTTACTTCATTGATGATCACCTCAAGTAACCCCTTTCGAGCAATTCTTTGTGATTTAATGAATTGTGGCGACTCAATTGATGATCGCTCTCCATTGATCGCTTTACACAACAACCACTCTTTGAACACTTCATCTCGCTTGAACAACTTTTCTGGTGGGAATCGCGGCAAGAACGCTTGAACTGCAGATTTACAACACACGCACACCTTATAAAATGGTGAACCCTTCACTATTGTTGGTGTCACAATAATAAACACGTGATTGAATTGTGTGACAAACGAATTCAAGTCGATTTCGTCATCTTTTTTGCCGTTTGATTCTTTGAAGATGATCACTACGACGTCGTTGCCAATATGCCTCTTTTTGTCGAGATGTTGGGGATCTTCCTCGACGTGTTGTAACATTGTTGCGACGTGGAACATTATCTCTGTGCCTTTGTATTTTGACACAATAGAAGTTGTTCCTGTTGTATTACTAGTCACATCCAACCCACCTCGATATCCGGTGTAACCTTTCAAGGTAACGGTTTCGCCAATTAATTTGTAAAATTCCGTGCAAAGTGGTGATGGCGTTGTGTTACTCAGAAACTCCATTTCAGTCCGTTGACCTTGTTTTGCATACAAAAGTCCGATTTTGTACGAGTGGCACTGATTTCGCTCTTCAAATTCAATCAGTTTTGGCCACACACTTTTGTCACACTCTTTCATCTTCACTTGGTCTTTCTTTAAGCCAAAGACACTCATCGTCTCATTGTCGATGTTCTTCAGGTCGGTGACATACGTCTTGACATTACCAAATTGGGAGATGACAACTGCTCGCTTCAATCCACCACTCTCATCCCCAACAGCTATCATAATTGGCCCTTTGTCCGTTGCTACATCATTGTAAAACACTTTCTTGTTAACAGACTGACAAACTCCTTCTTTCAATGGTCTTTCGAAATAACTTTCATTGAAGATTGGGACGTCCTCATTCAATAAATTGGAGATGTCGTCTTCACTCATTTCGAAGTGATAGTCATCTTTTAATGAGGTGTCTACTACGCCACGAGTATTCACATCGTCTGTGAAGACTTCAAACGGTTGTATATTCTGTTTGCACCAATCGTCATCTTCATCATCTGCTTCACACTCGATTGGTAAGAGGTTGGTGATATTTTCTGCTTTAATGATTTGCACGCCACACTTCAAAACGCCTTTAGAACCTTTAATGGGGTAACTCTTGATAACCATATCATCTTCTGTAATATCAAAGAGAGGAATGTCGACCGACCCTAACACAGTGTTGGTCTTTATCATCTTCCAGTCTTTAATTTGTATTTTAATAACATTGGCTTTGTTGTATGAAAAGGATAAGAGGGACCCCCAAAATGGATCTCCTTTCTTCTTATATACTATAGTCTCTAACATTTGTTTACCAATACACACTTGGGCATATAAACTCGACTTCTCTTTCTCATCGATAAAACCTTCCGTCTTTTGTACCATCACCTGTAACAGATTTTGATGCCTGCAAACGAAAAGAGGAATCGAGTCGATGTTTAATTGGTCGATGGCCGTCTGCATTAATAGACTCTTTTTATTCTCTTTGGTGTCAATGTACTGGGAAGATGGGACGGCGTAAGTACTAAAAGTGATCTCCCCAGCACTTTTGTCGTTGTCTTTGAGTGGGACGCGCCACACTATATTCTTGTTGATCGGAATCCGCTCCGCCATGATCTTGAATTTCCCTAAGAAGTCGTCTGCACTGAATTTCAGTGCGTTGTCCCAATCAAAACAGTTGAATATCAGAAAAGACTCCGGCGTGACGTTGTTGAGGACAAACGCGTCGTTCCAAATGGGCGAAAGGGACGTCTTCACTGTTTCAGTCTTTTTTTTCTTCTTTGTCAAGCGATCTTTTTCAAAGCTTGTATACGTCAGAACAACATAAGGATCTGACAGTCCAGTCGGGTCCGCTTTAGGTAAATTGCGAGCGGAATATATTCGAACTGCTATAGTTACAAAGGAGTCTGTTGGTATCATATGTATTCAAAATAAGTTAGTCCTATTAAATTAGAGAAACACTCTTATCGAAGAGAATGAGGAATGATTCGATACCTTCGAGTGTATTTGTTCCTCATTTCCTGATTTTGTAGGTAAATATTTTTCAAATAGAATAGTAAGGAAAACTTAAAGAGGCATTGAAGTGCATCTTTGCTCTTGTTATTGTGTTTCGGCTTACCAATTGGTATTGTTTGATACATTATTAATATATAGTTTCATTTATAATACTTTTATTATAAATGGAATGTATTGTTGGTTCATGAAATGTTAATTGAATAACAAAGAGCGTATTGGCGTATCTTGAATTGTTGTGGCAATTATTATTTCAGACAAACACGTGGCTTATTGATTAAATTATTAATTAAAACATTCATATAATAATTATTCCTTTTATTTGAGAAAACAAGATTTTTAATCTCAATGTCTTTTTGTTTGAAATTTGTTGTTATCACGATAATAATCCCGATTTGATAGTACAATTAAGGCTATTTTAAACTATAATTAGTAATTTTGACAAGTTAACATTAAAGAGGAATTCTTTTTTATTTATTTAATGGTTTATTTTATCATTTGTACTAGTTATTTCTTGGAATTGAAATAAATTGAATAAAATCTTTAATACAGTAAAATTAAAAAAATGAAAATAAACTATATAATATAATTAATAAAACTATAATATTACAATTATAATTATTCTATAATTAATAATAAATTAAACCAATACAATAGATACAACTCATTAATTATTAATATAACAAAGTCACCACCAGATCAAAACGACTGACATGATTGTGTTGACAAAAATCAGACTTCCAACAGAGACAAAGAGTGAGCTGTAAAACACGTTGTAGGTGTTCTTAAGATTTGTCAAATCCCGTTTTATTATTTGACCCAAAGTTTGAGTTGAAGATATCAACTCGTCCAGATTTGAGAATGAGTTGTAAATCATGTTGAGTCTCATTAATAAAATATTAAGAGACGAAGAAAACCCACTCAACCCAACAGCAGTTTTGTCGGCAAGATCCAACACCTGTGGAAGTGTTTGTGTCAGTTTGGTGATGTTTTGTTTGAGCATATCGATCTTGTGTTTCAATGTTCTGTCGATGAAGAATCTGAGTGGGGTATGTTCTAATGCTTCAAGGAAATTCTCTGTGTTGTTGAGCATCATATCAACAGCAACAAACAGTGGACTGCTTTGGTCGAATGTTGTTCTCATCGTACTCAATGCAACGTTCACTGAAGACATCATTATATTATTAGAGAAGTCCACTCTGGAAAGATCTCCGGTTAGTCGAAGTAAAAACTCGTCTAAGTGAAGTGGAGGACCTTCTACTGTCTGTGAATTGAAAGTTGAAGTTTCCATTTGTGTGGGGACATTCGGCAAAAACAAGATTGACAATATCAGAAGAATGAGTGAAGCGGCAGAAAAAGATAGTGTAAAATAAAGAAGCGATTTTGGACGAAATGAGTTGGTTTGAACAATGCTCAAATCAGCAGAAAGGTATGACGGTAAAAGTGGTTCTCGCTCGTGGATCCCTTTCATTGAATTTTTTTTCTTATTGAGTGTCTAATCAATTCTCGTTTGTCAGTTGTTAATCTCGCTTCTCATTTTTTTTCTTCGTTTTTTTATTCACAGTTTTTAATGATTATTGAATTATAATAATAATAAAAAAATATTATAAAAATATTATAATAATTAAATTATATAACAATTAGTAATTAAAAATACATTTTTACAATAATAATAATTACTAAACATTTCTTTTTTATATTTAAAAAAATAATTTAAAAATAGTATTTATTAGTAAATTTTGTTATAAAATATTATATAAAAAATGAGAGAATAATAAAAAAAACAATCCAAAAAATCTCAAA